TCTAACATACCTGCAGACACTTTGTCCGGGCGAGCGTGTATTTGATGCAATCGTTTTCTTCACCATATTGAAAGGCGATTCTATAGACATTTTACTAACGAAATAAAAAGAGAAAAGTGCAAAGTTGATCATTTTTGTATCATTGTAAAAAGTTAAGTTTTGTTATCAGCGTCTTTGTGGTTTGGATTGGCCGTTTTTATGCTGGAGACGTTAAAGTCGTCTAGACGCATTTAACGTCTGAGACAATAAAGTCGTCTAGTATAAAACGGGACGCACAAAAGTAGACCTTATTTAAATAAGTAGATTTTTCTGAAAAAAGGACTAGGCTCTACTCTCGGAAGACACTGGACACGAGTTAAAGCGGCGCCAAAAAATGAACTTCAAGCCCGCTAAATGCGAACAAATTGTTCAAACTTTAACATGGCGGCGGCGTTACAACTTTTAAAGTCTATTTCTCGCCGTCGCCAAGAAAGGCAGGACTTAGAAATGCAGATGTTCTTAACACAGAAAAGTGAATCGAGGAAGCGAAAACTTCAGATGATAGAAGATGATGAAAAAGACACAGCCAAAGCAATAGGTTTGTGTGCCGTCCGAGCCAAACGACGAGTCGAGCATAAATGCGTTCTAGTTTACGACTTCCCGTCTTTATACCAGACGACTTTAATGTCTGAGATGTTAAAAGTCGTCTGCCTTATTTAACGTTTTTATACTAGACGTCAAAGTCGTCTTAAGGCGACTTTATCGTCTATAGCATAAAAACGGTCATTCAGTTGCAATAACGCCGTTGCCTGCTACTGCAGTCTAACTTTGAAGATGTTAATCGGTGTGTGTCTCGCAAAACAGCTCTGGAGCTCCGGCCAAGAGCGTTTTGCATGACATAACCTTAAGAATTAGATCTCTCATGTGTATAAGACGAGTGGGTAATCACATGCTAGTGAAAATTACCGCATCTGGATAAATTTGTACATAAAAGTTTATTTGTAGAAGTGAAATATTTAAATAAAGTCATTTTGCCACAATTCCAGACCACAAGACTAGTAGATTACACATTTTAGAATATTTTAGGGCGTCAAATTGTGCTCCACAGCGCATCCTTCAATTTCTGTTCGAAGAAAAACAGCAAAATAGGATAGATCAATTCTACACTATTATTTGAATTTCAAAGGTGGAAAAGTGAAGTTCCCTCTCGCAACTAACTCCTACATATATCTGCGAACGTTCATACTAAATAAAACTTTCAAGTGAAATAAGAAAAAAGTCGATTTACGTTCTCCAAAATCCTACGTGCATAACATTATCCTGGCAATTTATCTTTTATTTCGGAGTATTTTTCGTCTTTCCTTTTGTGTTCCAGATCAGTGACGTCACATCGTCTCCAGTAAAGGCCCTCGAGCGGTATCCCCACTCTTTCCCGTTTTTTGCCTTTGCTTTGAAACTCCAGAGCCTGAAGTTAAACAAAATGTGATGGATGCGGCATAATTTCTCATTAAAGTAATGATATGAATCCAGGAAGGCTGATTAATAGGAGAATAAACAACCCGATCAGCAATGAACTTTGATACTACCCACCCCCCTCTCCCCTCCCCCCAATATTGTTCACTGTTTGAGAACAGTCTTTTGATTGGCCGTAAAATTAGCTGATAATCAAAACTAACAATTTTTTGTGAAATGGCGGAAACTCTCTATCTGTCACGATGAAGGATCCAAAATGATCCTAGTTGAGAGAGATAACGCAGACTTAAATGGCAATGGCAAACGAGTTAGAGTGAATTCTGATTTTACCAGCACTTTTCCAGCACTGTTTTATATCATGCCACGGTCCTTTTCAATTCTTAAGGGATAAAAACGAATGTGATTTTGAGCATCTAACTCGTTTTCGGTGCTTTCATATTCACAATATGAAAGCGTGGATGGCATCTTCGCTAACTTGTGATAAAAATTTGAAACAAGATTACAAGAAAAATTTCACCGTTGTTACATGCAATCAACTTCATTTTGCCCATTTACTACCGAATACTTTAAATCACTTTCCTTCTCTGATTACCCCAGCTTGGACTCTCATGGTTTGACCCCTTACACTTTAACATCAGAACGCATATTCTCCATACAGTTTTCTATAGATTACCTATGGTACTGACAAGGAGGATCTGTTTAGTAAAGAGCTTCTTTGGTTAATGATCATTTCCTTTATTCTCCTGACATTTACGTTTGACTTAGGAGCGCTATTGTAAGGAGAAATTAGATGCTTGTCACTTCAAGGGGTTGAAGGGTTAAAGATTGTTTTCTTCACTATGGACACCCGGGAATGTTTCTCTGAGATTGTTTGCGCTTGAGGGGCACAAAGATGGCGGATGGCAACCGTTGTCAAAGACAGTGTCACATGGGTGAAAGTCAAGAATATGTTTTAAAATAAACAAGGAAG